AAGGCTCTATGGGAATGGGGTAGGAGCTGGTGTAAAAAACTCCATCTCCTGCTCACAGGCATAGGGATGGATTCCTGTGTCATCCCCCTCCGGCATGGGGGCCTTTCCCTTGTGCAGACCACAGACTTCTTCTACCCGCTGGTTGAGGATCCCTACATGATGGTACGATGGTTCCAGACGGGTAGAGAAAGGGGGCAAGTAATGCGAGAGCCAGGGACTGGTTTGCAATGAAGAGCTCATGGGAGGTGCACTGTGACTTGGAGCTTGGGAAATGGGGCCCCTGCAGAGAACAGGCTTTGGTGCAGAGCCAGTGGGGCAGGAAATGGGCCCTAGGGGGCATCTTGAGGCTCAGATCCCAGGAGGCTTTCTGCCCACAGGGTACACGTGTCCTGTTGGAGGTGGGGAAGCAGCACATGTGATCTGGACTCAGAGCCTGAGGCAGGGAAGGTAGGCTCCTGGGGTAATCTCGCATGCCTGTGTTCCAGGGCCGCATTGCCTGTGCCAATGTGCTGAGTGATCTTTACGCCATGGGCATCACCGAGTGCGACAATATGCTGATGCTGTTGAGTGTCAGCCAGAAAATGACTGATGAGGTGAGGCTGGGATGTCAAGGAGACAGGTCTCCTATGTGTTGGGGTCACTGGCCTTCTCGGCTGTGATGGGTGGGCTCAGAATCCTGGCACTGTTGGTGTAGGCTGTATTGGATGCTCTCTGGCAAGAGAGCTGGAAGGACTGTTACCTGCACAAATTTCTCTATCCCTTCCACACTTTAGGGGGAGACACCTTTACCCAGTTCCTAGGGCTCAGGGCGCATCTTCCTTCGGGTTGGCAGGATCTTTAGCCAGCCTTACATAGTAATATTCTTATCTTCTATTTATTGATAATTCCCAAACAAGCAGAATACACATGCTCACCAGTCCTGAGAGAGGCAGACTTTCCCTCTTGGCCAGGCAATATCAGTCTTTCTGGATCTTAGCTGCTGCATGTCATGGTCGTGCAGGAGAGTCCTGGGAGCTCTGGGCTTAGGCTGTGTCTCGGAGGTGAGTTCTTCTTCCAGGTCTTCCCCCTTCTTTTTGGTCTTCCTTTGGTCTTCTTCTGTTACTTCCGATCTTCCTGGTCTTCTTCTTGGACCCCAGTTTATATAATGAAACCTGAGTCCTGCTTAGCTATACCATAACCAATTATTTTAGTATAATTTTACTAACCAATCATAACAAAATTACCTAACCAATCATACCCTACCACCTTAATTGATTTACACCTAGCAAAATTAATTATACAGCAGACAGAAACAGTTATAAACCAGAGATCACACAGTCAAACAATAGGAAAGTGTAATGACAATAATCATAGAATGAGGATTCCACAACCTCAAGTATTGATAAGCAGTTTCTTGCCAGACAGAATGATGTTATTTAAGTTTTCTTTACCCATCTTGAGAGCTGTTTCTTTATCTGGTGACAGTGGGGGAGCTTTCAGGACAAAATCCCCTTCTCACAGCTTGGTGTGACACTATTTTAATACAATTTAGATGGAATGTGAGTATGTGACTCTAGACCAGCGTTTCCCAAACTATGGTCCGCGGCCCGGTACCGGGCTGCAGAAAAAAAATGCCGGGCCTCAGCGGTCCTGGTGGCTGCTGGCCCTTAGGCCGATGGACCCATCTGGTCGAATCGGGCCTCGCACCCCTACACCCGGAAGTGCCGGCGAGTTAAGAGCCAGGCCCTGCTCCAGCGCTATGTGGAGCTGGGTCTCTCCCCAGCTTTGCCTGGAGCGGGCCCCGGATCCCCCCCCTGCCGGCCCCCCCATGCGTCCTCCCACCCCGCCCCCAGAGCATTCCCCTCGGCCCCACCCCTTCCCTGCCGCGCGCAGCTCCTCCTCGCCACCTGCTGCCCATGCGGGAGGGGGGAGGACG